CCGGGATTGCCGTTGGCGGAGCCGCAGTTGTGGCCCTCATCATTGGAACTGCAGTATGGTTTCTCAAGAGAAAGAAGTCGAAGGCCCCTTCAATACCCTCGCCGGGAATGGGGCAGAACGCATCGTGGCTGCCACAGCCTCCAGGCCAAGACCTTCCACCCAAGACACCACCAACGTGCGAGTTGGAAAATGGAGATACCACAAACTTCCGGCGGTATGAGATGGCGGGATGAACAGTGATGAAGGGCCGACGCAGTCGTGCCAGAAATAATGTTACATATTGATGACGTTCGAAGGGGGATGGCTTTTCTTCTTTAGATCTAGAACCTATTTTGTATTATACCTCACGAACACTTCGTCCTCGTCTTACCCTCTAGCTAGCCTCTTTGGCAGAAACAAGTCAGTATTCTATCCTCGGCGACACCCAGTGGCTTGTACTGTTCGGGGTATCTCTATTTTTTGGTGTTTCGGTCTTGAAGACATCGTTGGTCTTCGAGATTAGTTGAGTAGGAGGCGCACGGGCCTTGTAAGCGGTGTACTGACCCCGCGGTCATAACTGAGTGATTGTGAAGTCTGGCATTTGTCATCCCACTGAAAAGTGGACGGAATGGAAACAAGTCAGTTTGTACTTGGAAGACTGAGGATAAGATTGCTGTCTAAACAAGATTGGTGTTTTCTTGTCTTACAAGGCGGCCTAGGACTCTTGCAGTACAGGGATCGTGATCCAAGGCGAACTTGCGATTTGTCATACAAGTAGATCTCTAAAACCCACTCTCAAAGACTTGGTAAGCAAAAATGCCATTCAGCTTACCAAACACAGCTGAAAGATGTCAGTCCTTCCTCGGAGCCAATTTGTCCGTCCGTGTCTTAAGTTTCAGTGTATGCGGGGTCCGCGGTAGGCAGATCGTAGCACCGGAAACAGTTCCCAAGTTAGGTGCAAGCTGAGCGCAACTATTAGGGTTTCCTACTCATAAAAGAGCTTGCCAGAGTCCCCCTCGCCACCGGTTTAAAGATAGCTAATCAGATTGACCGGACATAACGACTGAGACTTGAAGTTTCAGTAAACATCAAGTATTGTTCAGTTGACTCTATCCATTTAACGTTGAATCCAATCCACTTAGCAACAATTCCAACAAATCCCCACAAAAAGCCGCACCAACAAGACCAAAATGGCATCTGAGAAGCTTAAACCGATCAGGGTCTGGACCTCCAAGAACGGCCCGAACCCATGGAAAGTCCATTTTGTCCTCGAGGAGCTTGGGATCCCCTACGAAGAAAAGTACATCGACTTCCCCGACATGAAGAAGCCGCCCTTTGAAGCGATCAACATCAACGGGCGCGTACCCGCCATCGAGGACGGCAACACGGGCATCACGCTGTGGGAGTCCGGCGCCATCCTCGAGTACCTCGTCGAGACGTACGACAAGGAGAAGAGGTCAATCAGCTTCGAGCCGGGCACGGCCGACTACTTCCACGCCAAGCAGTGGCTGCACTTTCAAATGTCCGGTCAGGGCCCGTACTTTGGCCAGGCCATCTGGTTCCACCGGTACCACTCCGAAGACGTGCAGAGTGCCAAGGACCGGTACGTCAAGGAAATTCGGAGGGTTTCCTGGGTCCTGGACCGGGCACTCGAGGGACGCGAGTTCCTGGTGGGTGACAAGTGCTCCCATGCGGATATTGCTTTTATCCCCTGGTTCAATGTCGCGTTCTACCCGTGGTATAACATGAAGGTTCCTGGCGCATTTGCGGATCAGATCGATTTTGCAAAGGAGTTCCCGAACACGGCCGCGTGGATGGACAGGCTCAGAGCTAGGCCTGTCATTGCGGAGACCTTGAAGAAGAGAGCTGCAACTCTGTAGAAGAAGAAAAAGCGTAGACAGTAGTCCATTCATGGAGTCAGATGATAAAAATAAGTCAGTATTCAAGCAAGCGCGTATATGAGAAAATGCGTTGTGACGTGCTGCACATTACGACACAGAGACATCTCGGCCCGAAGCCCCCACTATTTGCGGAAGAGCCATCCGGGCCCGCCTCCGGGCCGCTTTTTGTCAGCCCAAACGAGGCCGAGATCGACCCGGACGAGCGGATCTCGTTCAGGTCTCTTAGCGGCTCGCCCAGGAAGCCGGATAGAAGCCCGCTTTCATCGCTCTCGCTTCCTCATACGCTGCGATATCTGTATCCGCTACAGTGGGGAAGTGAGTGTACAACAGCCCAGAAGAATGAGGTTGGCAGGTGCCATTGTATCCGAATCAGTGAACGCAATTGGAGAACACGGAAGCGGGCGGAGGGCAAACACCGCTCGGAGCCGATTGCAACCTTGAGATCATTAATGTGTGTCTTTGCTTCGGACTGGTATACTTGCCTTATCCGGACGAGTGGGAAACTTGCGTTTTGGCACATGGCAAATCAGCGTCGATGCAAAGTCGATTATTCGCGGCTCGCGTCCTCGCGTCGAAAAAAAAAAGTGGGATTTCCGGAGCGACCTGGGACCTGCAGCTTATGAACCATGAAGTTTGAACGCCCTACCACGCGCAGACAGGCACGCACTGGAGCCAATCTCTGCGTAAAACCGAGATCTCCGAGTACTGGAATTTTCTCTTAGCTCGGCACCAAGGAGCCCAGCGTTATCGCTGGCAAAGGTTGCCTCACCGTCATTGATGGAGCTTTCTATCATTAGCCTTGTGGGAATAAACCGGGATCTAGTAGAATGCAAAGTGGGAGAAAGAGAGAGAGGCAACTTCCCTGTCGTGCTCGGTATGAAGTCACGTATCAGTCTTGCTAATCCCCAATGACTCAATGTTGCAACTTTCTCGGTGTTCCTGCCGCTGCCGTCTGTAACAGTTTCAACTCTAAAGAGACATCACACCCATATCAGCTGAATCTGAGATCCAGGAAGTATGTTCCCCTGGCGCTCTACTAGGTATACCTGAGGAGAAACCTATTGGGGAATAGGATGCAATCTTTTCTACAACGCCGGCGTGCGGGCGTTGAAGCCCAGGCACAAATCGACAGAGACATTGGAAAAGCACAGTCCTCAACAGCACAAGAAAGGCCGCACGACGGTATAGGCAGGGACCTTGAGAACCAATCTTCTTCATCACAGGAGGAGGAGAAGCGAGCAAGTCCACTCTTGGAATCACTAGGCGGTACTCTCACCACCAAACCCGAAAGCAACGACCACCGGAATCATGAAGGGGAGTACGATGCCTCCGGTCCAAACGTCGAACGAAGCCAGACGGCACGGACAGGACACTCCGAAGGCACAGCCCTCGGCCGCGTCCTAACCGGCATCCACGTCCGGGACCGGACCGGCGAAGAGGGCCACGGCGGCCGCGTCTTCGTCGTCGGCTGGGCGGGGCCGGACGACCCCTTAGACCCGCACAACTGGCCCACGGCGAAGCGCATCGGCGTGACGCTCCAAATCTCCCTCATCGCCCTCTTCGTCGGCTCCGCGTCCGGCATCGACGCCACGGTTCTTCCGCAGGCCGCGCAGGATCTCGGCGTCAGCCAGGTCGCCGAGTCGCTCGCCACGGGCCTCTACCTCGTCGGCATGGGCCTGGGCTCCCTCATCGCGGGGCCCTTTTCCGAAACCTTTGGTCGCAACGCCGTGTACGCGGCTTCCATGGCCATCTTCATGATTTGGATCATGGCGTCCGGCCTGGCTCCCAACTTTGGCGCGCAAATCGTCTTCCGGTTCCTGGCGGGATGCTCCGCTTCGACGCCGCTCGTCTGCTCCGGCGGCTCCATCGCAGACATGTACAACCGGCTCGAAAAGACGTGGAGTTTTCCCTTGTACGCGATAACCTGCTTCGGCGGCCCCATGATCGGCGCCGTTATGGGCGCCTACATTGGACCTTCCAACGCCGTGAGCTGGCGCTGGGTAGAGTGGACGACGCTCATCTCGTCTGGGCTCGTGCTGGTGCTTGTCCTGCTCTTCATGCCCGAGACGTACGGCCCGCTGCTCCTGCAGTGGAAGGCCGCACACTACCGCCGTATCACGGGCGATGACCGCTTCCGCTCCGAGCACGAGATCGTCGACGCCACGCTCTTCAGCCGCCTCAAGACGAGCATGACGAGGCCGTTCCTCATGCTGACGGAGCCCATCATCATCGCCATGACGCTGTACATCACCGTCGTGTACATCGTCCTCTTCACCTTTCTCGTCGGGTGGCCCTACATTTTTGAGTATACCTACGGTCTCGACCAAGGGCTCGCCAACATCATCTTCATCTCCATGTTCGTCGGCACGCAGGTCAATTTCCTCTTTGTGCCCTTCATCTACGCCAAGACAGCGAAACGGGTCAAAAGCGATGGTGGAAAAGCGAGCTTCAAACCAGAGATCCGTCTGTGGTACGCCACCTCCGGCGCCGCCGTCTCCGTCCCTATATCGCTTTTCTGGCTCGGCTGGACAAGCTTCTCCAACATCAGCGTCTGGTCTGCCATCTTCGCGGTCGCCGTGTTCGGGTACGGCGTCACCGGCATCTTCATGTGCGTGTACATGTACATAATCGACTCGTACGAGATATACTCGGCCTCTGCGCTCACGTTCGTCGCGCTCATTAGGTATATGGTTGCGGGCGGCATGACCGTGGTAGGAATCCCCTTTTACGAGAAGATGGGAACGCACTACACTCTGACTATCCTCGCCTGTATATCGGCCGTGCTTGCGCCGATACCCTATGTTTTGTATTACTATGGCCACTGGCTTCGAGCCAAGAGCCGCTTTGCGGTATCAATGTAAAGTAGTATCACATCTAGACAGCGTCAACTTTCTCCTAAATAGCACATCACGCTGCTGCACGTACATTTGTATATTTCTTCATGAGTTGTGGGATTATGATGACCATCCTACCTAGCTCAAGGAAAACGCTGAGCGGCAAGCTAGATCTAGCTGACGCGGTGCGGCCAGGCTGTTTGCCTGTCGAAGAGAGAGTGTTTTATGTGTATTCGGCCACGATATCGATATGCATCTAATGAATCCGAGACTTGAAAGTTTCGGATTAACAAGGATCTAGACGGACACCTCCAAACGAAAACCCTCCAATCCACTTTCTTTCAAAGTCTTTGGAAACCATCAGGAACGCCTCACCATCGCTGCCGACTTCCACTTCTGGCCCGGGCACCTCGCACCAGCCAGTGTTTCTGAAAGTATTCCAAAGCCCTGGCCCAATGACTTGCTCTTTGTAACCATCCTCCAAGAGTTGGGGAGGAAACCGTGGAGTGATATCAGCATCGACGAATTGGCCGAGGAAGTTATTAGGGCTCCTTGCTCGCCCGGCGCTGCAACGCAAGTTCCAGGGATAAAACCATGGAGAATCTGGCATTGGTTTACCCATCTCGATCAAGTCTGCCGGGAAGTATCTTTCTCTGATCGTATTTTCTGGTGAACCATCGGGGGACCAGCAGGGTGGCACAGATTGTGATGAACTAGGACAGTTCTTACCTGCAAAGAACCAAAATACCCACTGAGAGCGGTACCGGCCAGGGTCTATCCACTTGATGTGCCCACGAATCTGCAAGTTCACGATGCGGCGACACGTCAGAATAGTTTCTCCAATCGGTTTAACACTGTTCTGGCTCTCAATGTGTGGCTCAACGGTTGTTCCAAGAGGATAGCCATTGTCCCCCACGGGTTCCCTGTACCAGAGTAGGCGCCCTGGAAAGTCTTGATCGAGATCTTTCTCGTGTAGGCTCGAGAAACTCTTGGAGGGAATGGAGTGGGGTCTTGGAGCACCATTGTGCTTATTCCATTGTTTTTCACGCTCCCTTTCAATTTCGAGCGTCTCATCTCGAGCCACCAGTGAGTTCCTAGCAAGGATTTTGAGCCTTTCAATAACGTTATCGTACTCGTCATCATGGGGCCCGAACTTCACCATGTTAGAATGAGTACGGGCAATGGGACACGTGTGCTGGGCGCCTCCTTCCCAGCGGCGGCGATGAGTTGCCGATTCTTGGTCAACAAGAAGCTCGGGTCTTCCAGTCATCTCCCAGTTTCCGGCTTCGTCCTGTTTGGTGTCAACGCTGATACAAAGGGCGCAGTGGAGATGACTCGTTCACCTTCTGTGCCGTTGGCGACACGTGTGTCTCGTAGAAGTACACGATCTCAGAGTCGCCTTCTCCGCCTAGGGCTGCAGGAAATTCCTTCTCGCCAACACTTATGATCTGCGAACCAAGGCGATCTAGCGACTGAAGAAGGGGAAGGTTTGGCCCGGATTCAACGATGGGGATGAGCGATTCAATCTTCATACCAAGGTGAGGAACTCCAAAGAAGGCGATACCATATACCGCCCGAACGATCTGTGAATCTTGTTCGTTGTCAGACTTGAACATATCAATCAGCGCCTAGATTCCTTGTTAAGCCTGTGCAACCTTAAGGGAGTCATCTCATTCAACCAACCTGCTTCGCGATGAGCCCACCCATGCTATGGGCAATTAGAATTATCGGTCTAGTTGGAGGGCCAGCTAACGGGAGTAGGCTGTTGCGGAGCTTCTTTGCCAGGTCTTCTATCTTTTGGATACTTTTACTGTCTGCAAGAGTAGAATTGTAACCCCAAGTTATAACTCGAGCAATCTGAGTCTTGTCCTTGGCTTCTCTCAGGTGAAATGGAAGAGAGTCTCGTAGCCACATGTGGCTTCCGCCCCTTTCCTTGAACGAACCGAAGGCGTGTCCGCCAAGCCCAGGAATCGCGACAACACTGTCAAATAATCAGCGTTGGCATCATATCTTCATTAGGTATACATGATGCTTACTCAATCTTGTGACCCTTTGATGACGGCATGTGCAGAGTAGTCATTCCCTCGAAATCGTCGTCGATCATCATAGATTGACTTTGGAGGCTACGGCGTCCTTCAACGGACACGTCAGGTAGCTGGATGTACCACGGTGGACGACTCAACTTGTGTGCTTGGAACTGAGATGGTGGGATTTTGAAAGTGACTGTGGCAGTGTTGGAGCGGCCGTGAATCTCGCGAGCGATAGACTTGACAACTGGTTTGCTCAGAGGATCGAGCTCACTTAGGTGCAACTCTAGATCATTGCCGCTCCATGTAAGAGGCACCCCGCGGATGCGAAATGTCACGTTGGGATTGAATGACGGCACCGGTACGTTTCCACGTGGTCTCTTGTAAAAGTGTAGAAAAGCGAAGATGGCCAGTGTAGCCAGAAAGTAAGACAGCGGCACGCTCACTGGCTCCATATTTCGAGAAGAACTGCTCCGTTTCTGTTTCTGATGATCTTTGACAGGGTCAAATTGAATCGTTGTCTGTGCTTAGGAAGTCGATCAAGAAAGTAGATCCTAGGACAGAAGGTAGGAGGGAAAGCGGGAACACATAAGGGAATTACAGATACCGACCAACCTTTTTTATGAAGTTGCGGCTGGATCAGGCGTGATATGATAGCCAATGAACCAAAAAAGCGGTCAGTTGGGGCTGAAAATCGGAACACTTCTAAGCCACTGATCTTGGCTGCTTGTAGTGAAGCCATCAACTCGCACATTGATGCGAGGGCAGGCATACGTAGGCGCCATAGGCCCGAATCGATCATTTTGAACGGACTATGCAGGCTGCGCCACATTACTTTGTCTCGGCTGTGATAGGAGATGAGGAGGATCAGGCTGGCGAGTGGGCTCGGCCGACTTATCCAGAGAATCGGGTTAATACCTGAGGGGAAGAATAGATCATGAGTCAACTGTCAAATTAATGCTATTGATAATCCTCTCTCTCAATGATTGATCCACTGCATTTGATAAAGGTCTAAAGAGCGCCACCATAAGCAGACTGCCTCGATATCATTCTACTGTATTTTCCCGCCCAGCCGTCACTTTTTTGTGATACTGAAGCGTTGACAGAAGATAGAAAACAAAAAGACTCGACCACACAATCAACATAATTGCAATCGCCGCTGCAACGAATCCGAGTGATATGAGAGCAACACCGTATGAAAATGCTTGAAACTCCCCATCCGACCCCAGCCTCTCAGTTGCCAGGGCCACTTGCAAGGCCGACAGAATGACCGTGATGTAGATGAAAACCACCAAGAGCCAGCCAAAGTTGCGCTCGAAAAAGGTGGTGTACTGCTTCGAACCCGAAATATAGCCGTACACAAAGTTCCTCGCCGAGAACCCAGCTGCGCCCAAGCGGGAGAGCGTGTTGAGGCGGGACAGGCGGAGTTCGCCATATTCGTAACGACGGCTCACCCAGCTCCGCGTTTGGAAGTCGTTTTGGTTGGAGAATTCGAGCACCATGTTTGTCCAATCTTCCCATGTTATGCAAGAAGGCAGTAAACCCATCTCGTGTGCGATTCGCAGATCGCTGCGGTAGCTGACGAGCCATACGTATGAGAGCAGCAACCCGCAAGCACTCTTATATAGCGCCTCATCCCCACAGATTGTCTCTTGCCACAAGGAGTGATCGAAAAAGTAGTCAGGTAAGGGTTTGATAAAGATGGTCGTCTCGTGCCACGTCATATGCTCCTCGGGGTTCTCGGTCACGCAAATGTTCCGCCCGACTACCTTTTGGCGATGAAGTGGACGCGTCGCTCGGGGAAGCCCCGCGAGCCACAGGTATGGGTACATCTTCTCCAACCTCGGGGTTTGCAGGTCGGTCTCGAGGAATAAAGTGACGCTTTCTCTGGCATTGACTAGTCGGTCATCGTTCCGGAAGATGGGGGGCAGAGTGGTGTTTATCGAAAGACGAAGGGCGGTGTCTCGCGAGACGGGTACGGGAGATTTGGGTGGTGGTGCAGTTGCATGCAGCGTTTGGGCCATCGCGCCGCCAACTTCGAGGTCGGGGATACAGTCTGACCATGGATGAGGAGACAAGATACTGCGAGACAAGTTGGTTCGACCGATTGAGCGGCCTCCGTAACAGTACTCTCAAATTGATGAATGTATGGCTGCTTATAAAGTATTCTTACGACCAGGCTGAAGCGGATGGGAAGCATCGGTATCGGTGATCCAGAGCCTTATGCCAGTGATTTGGCCAGGGTGAGCCATGGCTGCTTCTATGCGTACCTACATTCAAGTACAGTGGGTGTATGTAGTAACCGGCTGCACTCAAGTCGAGATTTGATTCCCTCCGAAGGCTGAAATTAGCTCCGATCAATTGAGACACACCTGCTTCTCCTGGCCGTTTTAGCTCAGCTAAGGTACTCAGTATAGACCTTATCTCGCAGTCGAAGCAAGCATCCAGTCAGCCGCTGCCAGGGCTGGTGCAACAAGTGTGGGAAACGTGACGCAAAGGACTGTTCCATAGCGCCAAAGCTCTTCAAGACGGAATCCCCCTGCTGAATCAGGTACACACACAAGTGCGGGCGCCTAATATCACCAACAGCTCCGGGAATGACCCGGGAGCGGGCCCGGCGCTGCGGTCCGGAGGTGGAGTTGTTCTAAGGTGCATTGCCATTGAGGAGATCAAGGACATTGATAGCTGCGGGCGATGTTGACAGTACAACCCAGCATGCGCGAAGACCCCAACAACCAGACATAAATAAAGCCGGCCAACCCCAAAGAAGCCGGGATTGGACATCTGGAAGAGGAGAAAAGAGACAAGAAACAGATATGAATCCCGGGTTTGCACAGCAATAACAGTCAAGGAAACTCTTCACAAATCAGCAACTCTTTATTCTCGAGGGTTTCTCCTATTCCCCCGCCCCTCCAATCCATGGACCTTGTCTCCCAAGAAATGTTGCACTTCACACGTTCTGCCTAATTGCTGTGAGTCTTCTCAACTCCCACGTGAAATTCCTCTCCCCTTCTTTCCATCTCGGACCTGCCGCATCGTGTGACATGAGGTTGTTTTCTTTTTGCTTCGTATCAACTGCCTGCCAACCAGCCTCCTCGCCACATACCTCTCCCCCAACATCATCATCGCCCCCCTGCGACGTGACCGTCCAATGTTTGGTTTTGTTTGTCAAAAAAGAAGAGGAAGAGAAGATAAAAAGCCCCTACGCGAAGTAGTTACACAAACAAAAGCCATTGAATAGCTTGAAAATAAACGCCAGCCCGTGGGATGATGTTCCTCCTCGGATGACGAGGAGGTTCCCGACCATGCATATAATAATAGTAAAAAAAGACACAAAACTTTACATCGTGCTGTCGTCGCTTCCGTTGCATTACCATTTCGTATGGGAATCATCACCCCCAAGGAATCAAAATTCAACGCAGCCAACCCCCTTTCGAGTCGTAATAATCATGGGCTATGCGTCTTTGGCCCCTCTTTTCTTGAGACATTTGGCAGTGTGGTGACTACCTGCCTTGGGGTCTCGAACTGGCCATCTCACCGTGCCGTCCACGGTGCTGCGTCGTGTCGTATGCCTGAAGCACTCTCGATTGACTCTCATCTGCTTGGGAGAATGCGTAACCGCGCTGCTTACGCATGCGCTGCACTTGTCGCACCTTGCGAATTGCCTTTTGGAATTGCTCCATTCTGATGGATGGATTAGTGAGCTGTCGTTAGAGAGGGCTGTAAGTTTTAGGGAGCAACGTACCTTGGTCTGTAATCTTGGATGTTGTACTTCTGAATCTCCTGAATGTGATGGTATGTCTGCGGCATGTACATGCGCTTGGCAAACTTCCAGGCAAAATCGCGCATAAGACACATAATCGCGAGCGCAAAAGTCTGCAACCAGAAGACGGGGCTGCTGTACAGCTTGGGAATGACACCGTGATACTCGGCGGAGAAGGGGATCATGGGGGCGACGGTGCCGTACAGAGCGATGAAGCCCCACCAGAAGAGCATACTGCCAGGAATGGCCATGACGTGGTACTTGGTCCAGTTGTTCGTGATCAGAGCCGCCTTGCCGAGAACGGTGAGCAGGACCGCAGCGTACATGGCCGTGCCCCAGACCCAGTGACCGGCTATTTGTCCATCGCCTTGGATGAGTTCACCATACCAGATGAGTTGGCCAAAGACGTAGAGGATGATGGAGTGATACACAGCGTTGGCAACCCACTCGGCAAAGACCTTGATCTTGAAAAACTGATTTTGCTGACCCATGTTGTACAATTGCGGGTAGCGGTCGAGGAGTCTGGCGGAAATGAATTGGTCAAGGATACCCAGAGCGAGAGGAGGGAGGACGGTGTAAAAGACGTTGTAGAACGAAAGCGTCCAAGACTCGTAAATGACGGCTCCAGAGAAGACATTTTGGAAAGTGTACTGGTCAAGTTAGCAATCTAAAGTCCGCAATCCATCCACCAACAAACTTACCCAAAACTGCGTCATGTACAAGGTGATGTTCTTGTAGAAAGAGAACAGAATGGTCTTGGCAACACGCTGGTAGCTCCAAGCGCCGTGAACGAGTAGTAGCTTTCTGAGATACCGGAACTGGCCGATGGATACGTCGGCGCTTCGGGCGGCCTGTAGACCTTCCATACCGCTAATGCCCACACCGATATGGGCAGCTTGAATCATGGACACATCGTTGGCACCGTCACCAATGGCCAGCGAGATGGCCTCCTTTTGATACTTCTTGACCAACTTGACGACAAGAGCCTTTTGGAGGGGAGAGACACGGCAGCAAATGACGGCCTTGCACATGATGGCGAGGTCAAGGAATTGCTTCTCGAGGTCCTTCTCCAAGGCGTAAGTCAAAGACTTGCCATCGATGACGAGTGCGAGAGTTTCCGTTTCAATCGTCCCATCTCCTTGAGTGCGAATAGCTTCGAGCTTCTTTTGTATATTGTCGCGAGTCGCTTCGGCGCTTTCCTCGTTCACAATCAAGAGCATCATATCCTCGCTAAGCAGCTTGCAGCTCATTCCAATGTTGATAGCAGTCTCCTGACGATCGCCTGTCAGAACCCACACTTTGATGCCGGCCTGCTGAAGTGTATGAATGGTCTCGGGAACACCATCCTGAAGGCGATCTTCAATAGCAGTCGCTCCAAGGAGGTAAAAGTCGTGCTCAATGAGTTCTGCTGCCTTGTCCAGCTCGTCGGCACGGTTGCCGCCAACGGTCATGCCGGCCTTTTCAAAGACCTGGAACCATTCCTGGAACTCCTGCTCGGGAACTTCACGCATGGCAAGGCAAAGCGTTCGGAGACCTTCAGAAGCGTACTCTTCCAGGTGACGCAGGGTGGCTTCGACGTGGGGGTTCTGATCGTTCAGGCGCTCGAGAATGACAGTATCGGCACCTTTGCAGTATACGCGGACCTTTCCGTCGGGGCATCGATAAATAGTCGACATGCGCTTTCGGGTAGAGTTGAACTCGCAAACGGCCAATAGCTCATACTCGAGCTCACGTCCTCCAGCTTCAATGAAGACAGACCTCGGCTTGCGATCGGTGAAGACGTAGCCGAGCTCAGCCGCGCCCTCGACGAGCGCACCCTCATCGGGTGAGGCGGCTTGATACTTGATTTTGCCGCCCTTTTCCTCGCTCCTCTCGGGAATGACTGTGTGACAAGTAGCCAGCAACGCCAGAAAATGATCAATCACGGGAGCCGTTTCGTGGCTCTTGAGGTTCTCCGCCAATCTCTTATAATCGTGGATTCCGACCTCAACACCATCCTGAATTGTCGCCCTGAGGTCCTCGGGAACATCTTCGGCATATTGAATACCGCCAATCGAAGCCTGTTTGAATTCCATCATATTGCAAGTCAAGGTGCCCGTCTTGTCGGAGAAGACATATTCAACCATGCCCAGTTCTTCGACTAAACTCGATGTTCTGCAGTTTGCCGGCGTGTCCGTTCTGTCATAGTAGATGTCGAGATCATCGTTGATGAGGATTCCGTGCCAGTACTTGACCATTTCCAGCGTGACGAACAGGGAGATGGGCACAAGGGAGGAGAACAAAACCCAGTATGTGACCATGTCCTTGAAGAAGGTCTTGATGATGTCGTTTGCTGATCCGGTAGAGTCAAGCATCAGGTACTGGAGAGCTTGGCCCTCAACCTTGCGCTGAACAAGATCGCCTACTGTGCAAATGACGCTAAGCACAAGGAGGATACCGACCAGCACGAGAACAAGAATGTTCAGCTTCTTCTCGACCTTTGTGCGTTTGATGGGTGCAGCAGTGGCGTTACGCATGAGCTTTGTCTCGTGCCCAGTGAAGACAACCACACCATGAATCCAGGGCGTATTACGAAGAGTGGCACCTCGAAGCAGAAGCTGCTCGGGGTTGAGGGGCAGCTCTTTTTCACCACCACCAGCCTGCATTGTCAGGGTGGCCTCATATGTGTATAGACTGCTGTTGGGCTGTTCGGACTTGATTCTTCCTCCGAGTCGGCTCAGATCGCTGGAGCTGACCATCGTACACGTCTCAGGTAACGCCTGCTTGATCTTCAAGTTTGTTTCTCCGTCGAGGTTTGCTGTTTCGATGTAGCAAAGTCCCTCGGGCTCGGAACTTGCAAGGAGGACCAGATCGGCAGGGAAGGGCTCTTCAGATTCGACGCGGATAATGTCTCCGACCGCAACATTGATCCACTTGGACTCCTGGAAGGCGGTTCCGCGCAGGATGCGGGCCTTGGACGTGTTCAACTGGTGATCGGCTTGTTTTCTTCGGTAGTCCTCCACCAGTTCCTTGCCTGCCGACACCATCATGACGATGAAGAGCGGAATGATGGTAGTGTATCTGTTAGTAGGCGAGAGGTTGGGGATTTGCTGCAGCGCAGCCGTGAACAAGAAGAAGATGTTGGCAAACTTTGAAAACTGTTCGAAGAGGAATTTCGGGAGGAAGGTTGCGACATTGTACTTGGCCGTCGAGATGTGGTTGTCGACGTACTTGTTCGCTGCGTTTGCGGGCGGGTTGTTGAGATGGATCAATCTGGGACCCAGTGTCGAAGGGTCCGGCTTCTTGCCTCCGAATCCAAACTTGAAGTTACCCATGTCGAACTTCTTGCCCCCCTTGGCTTGCGCATCGATGCCAGAGTCTGTCCGTCCGTTGCCGCCAGCCTCCGTCAAGGGCAAGTCCATCTCCGAGTAACCTTGGCCCATCCCAAGCTTATTTTTCATGCGGCCAAAGAAGCCTCCACCCAAACTCAGGACGCTGTTACGGTTCCGAGCATTGGACCTCGCGGAGGGGTCACCAACATTGTTCGTACTCGTCGCGGCGCCGCCTTGTTGGTAGTACGATTCGCCTTCGGCCGAGTAGTCGTCAAAGTCGTCGGCGTATCGCTGGTAATTGTTTAGTTCTGATGTTTGACTGTAGTGTCTCTGCATGTATGGGCCGGAAGATGCGCCGCCAGAGACACCAGGCGATTGAGGGCCTCCAGGTAACGGTCTCAATGCTGAGGGTTGCTGTGTGTGATTCCCTCCCCCTCCTCCACCGCCGCCGCCTACAAAGTCATCGTACGAAACGGAGGGTCGGCCCTGGGCCTGGTCTTGATCGTGGTTGTAGGAGCGTAAAAGGTCGTCGTCGTTCATATTCGATCGCTGTCCGGCATTGTAGGTCGGTTGCTCGCTGTCCAAGTCTAGTAGTAGGTCGTTATTCGAGGGTCCTCCTGGAGGACCACCCGTAGGTCGTCCAGTCATGCCGGGAAGGCTGGTAGCGTTGCTGGGCGATCAATTTGCAAGTGTCAGAATGGCCAACATGCGAATTTCGAGGTGATTGGATTATCGTCGTGTTTCCGGATACATGAAGGGAAGAAGCGATGCAGTCGAGAGGGTGTGGTCGCGGACGATTTGGCAGCCTAATCGGTGGATGATGGAGATTCGTATCGGCGGGAGCAGTGTAGCTAGAGGCGACGACGACGACAACGACAATCGGCAATGAAAGCGACGCCGCAGCTGGGCGTTTGCTGAGGGTAGCTGATGTGGTGGGAAAAAAAGAAGTGGCCCAGCAGTCCGTATTTGTTGCAGCACAGCCTCTTTCTGGCGCAGGATTAGGATTACACAGTGGTCGGCTTGCGCTACGTCAACGGGCTGAGTGCGCAAGTGTACCGTAGGTAGTTGGTCGCCAGGCGAAGACGAGAGTAGGTACCTAGTGACCGAAAGACGGTCCCCGGTGGCATTGGCTCAGGAGGCAAAGCAACGCAGTCGCTATGATTGGCTTGCAACGGTCGAATAATTTCACAACAGGAGAGGACGTCTTTTAGACTGTCGAGAGGCCAAGAAGTAAGGTGATGTGAGGTGTCGTCCGCGGAAAGGGTGGGATCTGCGGAAAGTCGTGTTTGAGGTATTGGTGGTGCTTGAATGGGGTTGAATTGGGGGGAACTCGGGAGACAGCGCAAGGGAGCCGACCGGATGAGACTGGAAGCTAAACACGCAGCAGCAGCAAGTACTTAGCAGCAAGGCGTTAGACTGGGCGTAACTTGTAAGGTTGGTAGCGTGGGTTTTTCGGGGAGGCGCAGGGTACCAGTAGCAGCGTCAAACAGTGCAGATTGAAGACACCAAACCTCAATGGACGGGACGGGGAAGGGTCGAAAGGGTCTCGTTGGCTTGAACCCAGGCGCCTTGCTTGCGGTACCAAGGTACTTGGCTGGCCTCTAACGTCTGCTCACAGCTGGCAGCTTCCTCAGGCAGATGCGACAGGTATCCTCGTTCTCCGTACTTTCCTGGGCTATTTTGCTGTGAGACTACAACTGGGCAATGGGATTGGGTGGACTTGGTTTTGGGACCGCAGCTCCACCAGACGGGGGCACGTGTGGGCCTGTTGCTATTCTGAATCCTTGGGAGGACGTTTGACTGGCTGGGCCTAGTATTGGCTGCATCTCTTCCTCCACGTCCTGATCCTCTCTCTGTCTCTGCCTCTCTTCGTACCGGATGCGAGACCACAAGCTGACAGCAGCAGCGAGAAGTTTAAAGAGTTGCGTCGGCCTCCAGCCACACACACCAACCTACGACGACAGGGCGAAGTTGGTGGATGTCGGCAGGAATGCCCGCTACGCCACTCTCGGTCAGTCAGCCTGCAGCCTGCCTTCGTTTTCCCCTCAACACTAGACATTGTCGCCAATCGAACCATCAATCGAGACGTAAGGGGTGGACGGACGTCTCGCACGGAATCTCGGGACCCGTCACATTTAGCCTGCTCTGACACGAGCCAACTTCAGAGTCCGCCTCTGCTCAATGTTCATATGGATAGGTAAGTCATAGGGCACAGAGTATCTGCATCTGTATGCCCGCTCAGACCCCAAGGGCCCCGACGACTACCTAGCCAACGCCAGGACCAGCGTGTAAAATGGTCATAGACCAATACACGAGGACAGACGATGAACAATGGAGACAACGCAGCAATGCCCAGGCTATTGAGCAAGGTTTGATCAGGGTAGGAGTTAAGCATCATCTCCCGTTCGATGACAGAACCTGTTTCCCCTTGGCCATGTACCTCTTCAGAGTCGTTTCCCCCCGATGATCTGTGATTAGCTGTGGAGTACGAATATGCTCTGTACGAATACTCTCGCTCATCCCAAGTGAACAGACGAAATTTGACCCAACCACGGCATATTCTTTCACCCCAGTAACCCCCGGCATTCTCCAAGATGCTGAAGAACTTGATCAAAATAAGATCCATTTTCAATTCCAAAAGTGGCTGGGGTCCCCGTATGCGTATAGCGAGGAAACAACTCGACAACAAAATGCCCCCTATTGTGGCTACCGCGTGTGCTGGGCCAACGGCCCCAGAGTCAGAGGTCCAGACAACCGAAACGTCCAATGTCATCCACTCATTCTCCAGGGCAGACATTCCAATTCTAGCCCGACCCGGTGCTGGACCCACACGAATCTGGACGGACCCACCGGGGAAACTTCAGTCTTCAGCACCGACCAGCAAAGTCGCCGCCCTGCGACGTTGCGTCACTTCCAGCTGCCGTCCTTTCCAGCCACATTTGTTATCATATCTTATCTCAGCCTTATCACTTGCGACACCAGCCACTCGTCCCTCTCTGCCAGTCCCTCAACCATCATCAGAACAACCTTTAGTAATTGCGACTTCAACACAACCGACGATAGACCTATCCACCGAATCTAAACCCATCCCCGAAAATGGTCTGCACAAAGTGCCAAAAGCTCGGCAAGGGCTCCACGACCCTCGCGACGCCCTCTGTCAAAAAGAAGAGCGAAATCTACCACGGCTCCTCCTCGTCCTCGTCTTCCTCCGCCACCAAGTCCGCTACGCTGGGCACGACCGGCATCGGCAAGAGCAAGCTGCTCTCCAAAGCTGCCAAGAACCCTTACGCCCAGTACTCCAGCGCCTGCTCGAAGTGCAAGACAAAGGTCTCTCAGGGCCACTCCCTCTGCCAGTCGTGCGCCTATCGAGCCGACTCGTGCGCTTCGTGCGGGAAGCCGAACAAGAAGGCCAAAGGGGCTGCTCCGTCGATCGCGGGACAAAAGTTCACGTTGAAGTGAGACGGCGACAGATTATAGACGAAACATAACATTACAACAAACCACTGTTGTCGAAACACCCAAGACGATACCCTCGTGACGCGCACTCTTCATGCGGCCAGAAGCTGGGAGCCGATCAGCCTGCAGGGGCCAGCAGCAGCAACGGCAAGGCATGGCAATGAGGCCTCTATACTCTGCGCCATCGACCTACATGCGATACGCCGCTCAATATGCGCCAGATTGGAGACGGGATTCAACAGGTGGCAGGCCGTCATGACAGTCTTGTAGTGGCCAGGAATACAAACCACGAGGGCCAAGCAAGACAGACAGTCCCACGACATCTGACATCACTCCTTCATCCCAACCAAGGTAACAACGGTCCTAGGTACAGATAGTAATAGCTGCAAAAATAGACCCCAAGGGTCAATCAACGCACAAGCCTTGCTTGATCAAATTCTGTAATTCATTCTACATTGGCCGTTCACTAATCGTTCCCGAAACCGTGGTTCATCCCTGCCTGTCATAAATATAAACGTTAACGTCAACTCCAACCTCGCGCGGCCCCCTTCTTCGAGAGCCGCACTTCTTCTTTTTGGCTTTTCTTACAACGACGCCGTCGGCTTCTTGTCGACCTTGCTCTCGATCCACGCCTTGATCTGCTTATTCACCTCCTCGGGCGCCTCCCACAACGCCCAGTGCGTCGCCGTCACCTCGCCCCTCGACAGGTCCTCAAAGTGCTTGTCCATGCCCGCCGCCATGGCCGGCGGCAGCGCCGCGTCCTTTGTCGCCGAGATGAAGAGACTGGGCGGCGTCACCTTGTACGCCTCCCCGCTCTTCTCCGCCGCCTCCGCGAGCGGCAGCTCCTCGTCGTGGTTGATCTTGCGCGTGCGGTACCAGTTGGTCGGGCCGCGCATGCCCGACTTGCTAAAGTTGTCGGCGTAGTACGCAATCTCCTCCTCGGACAGCAGCGGCGTGGGGCCGATCTTGCCGATGTTCTCCCAGATGATGCCCCTCTCCGTGTTGAAGACGAGCTCGCCCGCGGGGCCTTTGCCGCCGTAGATGCCTTGCAGGAACTGACGGATGTCCTCGGGCTTGGTGAGCTTCTCGGGCACCTCTTCGCTGCGCAGCTGGAGCTGGTACTTGAAGTTGGTCAGGCGGCCCGCGGCGATGACGTCGGCGAGGTCGAACCAGGCCGTCGTGGGCGCGTTGTAGGGCGTGCAGACGCTGAAGACGCCCTTGATCAGGGACGGGTGCCACATGGCGAGGCGCCAGACGAGCGCTCCGCCCCAGTCGTGGCCGCCGAGGATGATCTGCTCGCCCGGGATGATGCTGTCGCAGAGCGCCTTGATGTCGTCCGACATGCTCTTGAGGGAAAAGGCCTCGAGCTCGGCCGGGGAGGCCGTCTGCCCGTAGCCCAGGGTGTCCGGGACGATGACCTGGTATCCCTGGGCGAGGAACATGGGGATCTGGTAGCGCCAGCCGAGCGAGATGTCGGGGAAGCCGTGGATGAGGACGACGGAGCCCTTGGGGGCGGCGTCGCCCTCCGGCTTGCTGAAGAGGTAGGAGTAGGTCTTGCCCCTGACCTCGGCCTGCTTGCGCTCGACGCGCGGGTCGTTCGGGGCGATCTTGTCGACGGCCATCGTTGGTGTGTGTATCCGTATAACGGTATGCAAGGCTTCCGTCTGGGGTGAAAGCTATTAGGGACCGTAGCGGGAGGCGGGAGGAGGGAGGGAGGGGCAGCTAGTAAATGGCGGGGTGCGCGGTAGTCTTATACTCACGTTGGCACTCGACGTCTGCCAAGGAACAGACCCTTGCTATTACAGCTCAGTGACTGATTGTAAGCTCCCTCACAATGCTATTGCGGGGATTGATGAAAGAGAAGGTGTATATGCGTGTTTGTATGAGTGTGTGCAGCTTCACCGACACCTATCTTACCAGACTTGTCGGAAAGATAAAACTACTTATACCATTCGAGATATCGCCGAGTCGCCGAGTTATGGAGACAAGTATCGCACTTTGAAACTCGCCCGATTGCTTAGAAAGCTATAGAAACTGGCCACCTAGGAAAAACATACGAGCGGTGTAAATCGAGCCTCGGCATAGCTTGTCCCATTGTCGGGCTCTACCTCAATGCAGTACTTCGCACACAGGATAACATCGACCTGTTTGCACCAAGCTCTGGGTCCAGCGTATGGGTCGCAAGGTGAGGGGCAGGGCTTGAAATGGACAGGGTACCTGACGTGCGGCGAGCGGCGGCATTGGCGAGCGGCGTGGCCGGGCATCCACCCGCGCGGGGCATCGCCTTTGCTGTCCATCGGAGTCCCTTGATGGAATCGTCCTAGCGGGCCCCGTCCGTGCTGTTGCGATGCCTCGGTCCAGGGACAACTTGAGACAAGGGGACTCGCCATTGTCGGACGGTACTCAAAATGGGGTTTCGCCATTGTCATTTTCGACATATGGTTCAGAGCCGGAGATCGCATTCTCTTTACCCGAAAAGCGTAAATTGCAAGTCTAGACGGGGGCCAACGATTCTTCAACGGCAAGGAACAGCTGTTCTGGACTAAAAGGTCCCACCAAGCTAAAGCAGGAGAACGTCACTGGTCTTGCGCTTGAGTCAGAGAGCATGGCTCGACGTATGTAGTAAGCCTTTCAGCCGGCGAACAAAGTTGGTCTGAATCCCGTTTCTGGACCCAAGCTTCTTTTTTCAAATATCACCATGGGCACCTTTCCCAAATAAACGCCACTTTGAACTCCAATTGGTATCATAAAAACCCCCAACTCCGCCTTCAAACTCGCGCGCAAAGCCAGGGAAAATAGCATGCCTCCCATATCGCCTAATTTTATAACAATCACATAAACTACCGCGGTTGTGGCGTCTTTTACAATGAAACGCCGGAGAAGGAAAAATGGGAAAACACCACTCGCTTTTGTCAGGCATTAGTAGATAACCATATCCTCGTCGTTTTCAACGACATCACCAGGTTCGTCATGTGTGTCCCGCTCATGTCTGTCTCTGTCGGAAGACGCAGCTGTGTGGTCGGAAGCTGCGGGAGCATCAGCAGAAACCTCTGGCGGAGCCTCTGCTGGTTGATCTTCTGTGACCATGGGCACAGGCTCCTCCTGGGCCGTGGCCGGCGGCCTGGCACGGCCGTGGCGTCTCTCGTGTTCTTCTTTCCGATCTTTGAACGCTTCGAGTTCTCTCGCGATGGTATTCTTAGCGTCTTGCACCTGGTCGTCAACCTCGTCTTCTTGTTCTTTGGTAAGCTTCCACGGTCGATAGTACTGCAACACGTCAGCTTATGGTTTCCCCCCTTACGCAACATGCAATACGCACAATTGACGGTCCTGCTCTCGTCCGGAGGGATTGTGCCTTTGCAAGCATGTTGACATGTCGGGTTTTCATCTGCGATAATGAAAAGCTTATAAGCGCTTGAATGAGGCCATCAAGGGGAGGAGAGGGGCAAGCACGTACGACTTTCTCGTCAAACAAGATTTGCTCCTTCCACCGCGCCTCGGTGATCCGCGCGAGCTTCTCTGTCCGTCTCTTTTCGTCTTCTGCCCTCTGCTTCTGCGCCTTCTCCTGCTGTCGCTGCTCAATCTCCCTCCTCTTCTTGTGCTGCGAGCTGGAGTTGGTCTGGCTGAGGGTGCTCAGAAGACCTCCAAACAGCCGCTTACCCCGCTTCTTCTCTTCATCCCTTGATAAAGGCGCCCGTCGAGCGGTACTGGCTCGGGAATCTTCGTCGCGCGGCCTCGAGTCCCGTGTCGAATCCTGTGCAGGTGGGTCGCCGTGATCGCCATCATCGAATTTTGCCCTTTTTGATGATTCTTCCGCTCCATCAAGGGAGTCTATAGACGCTTTCCGTTTTTGTGTAACCTCCATCTCAGAGCTCGCGGATTCGGGGTTGATGGTATCAGCAGGTGCCCTGGAATCTGTAAGCTTCTCTTGCTCGGTCCGAAGGGAGCCGTTTTTGTTGTACTCTGTAACAGTGGCCATGATGATGTCGCTTCCCACCGTCGCAGTCGCAGCCTGCTTGGCAAAAATCTCAAAGAAGACAGAACGCGAAGGAATGCGGTGTGCACGAAGGGAACTGAATGCGCCTCGGTCCCATGGGAGGTATCCCGGAGCTTGACAGCTCCAACCCGAGCTCCAAGGCTGAGGTTTGTCAGCGGGGTCCAGCCACTCGGAGGGACGAACCCACAGACTACCCCACTTTGGTCGGATCAGACGAGGGTCCGCACCAATGACCGAAAGAGAACCGAGAGGAAGAAGTGGCGAGGCTGAAAGGCGCGGACGTCTTTTCTTCAAAGGTTCCTGGTGAAGAGAGGGTACGGTAAGCTGCGACTTGCGACCATCACCTCCCGCGACCCGCAAGACAGCTTCCACCAAACCTCACCACCCAGAGGCGCTTCCCTCACAGATTGACCATCATGTCGCGCCATCACCCGTAGGCCATCTCCCAGTCAAACCCCTCAAAATTCATGCACAAGCTAACAACTCCCGCCAGCGATCTCGTAATGTGCCGCAAGCAAGCCGGCATCGCCATCGGCCGCCTCTGCGACAAGTGCGACGGCAAGTGCCCCGTCTGCGACTCCTACGTCCGCCCCACGACCCTCGTCCGCATCTGCGACGAGTGCTCGTTCGGAAACTACCAGAACAAGTGCGTCGTCTGCGGCGGCGAGGGCATCTCGGACGCCTTTTACTGCTTCGAGTGCACGCGCCTCGAAAAGGACCGCGACGGGTGCCCCAAGATTATAAACCTCGGCAGCTCCAGGACCGACCTGTTCTACCAGAAGAAAACCAATCGGACGGCGACGTACTAGTCCCTGCGTCGCCTGGGATATGGGCAAATTTGATGTGTTGTTTGAATGCGAGGAGACAGGGAAGACTACAAAGTTTTCGTGGAACAGGTATCGCATTGCCTGCGGCGTTTGGTTTGTTTTGGTTCACAGCTATGGGACAATGGTTTTTGCGGCATAATTGGCACTAAGTCAGACATGATAATTTTTTTTAAAGCGGCATGAAACAGTTTCACCAAACCAAAGAAATGCTTCATTTTGCATAAGTATCAAAAAGAATGGCCAAACAATTAGGCCAATGTTCATCCAAGTTCGTATAGTACAGTGAGGTCAAAGCTAGCCAAGCACCCGCGTCGTAATCATATATAGCTAACCTTGACTCCCATTCCCGCGGTCGCCTTGACCTTGTTCCAACCATTACCAAGCACCCGCTGTATCCGTTCGCGGACGTTCTTCTGCCCGAACATGACGACCAAACCCAAAATAAAGGCCACGAGCCGCATCAGCAGCATCGGATTCGTCTTAAATGATGCTCCCAGCTGGTCAATCACCTCGCGCAACCGAGTAATGACCATCGACGCTCTCGTTCCCAAGGTCGGCGGAGCTGAGGATTTTCCTTTGGCCCTAGAGACAGGCATCTTCGAATTAGAGTTGGACCCTGATGTGTTGGAAACGGCCCTGGCGTGACGTCCTTTGCTTGACCCCGCCTTACTCGAGCCTGCTTTACTCGGTGTCTTTTCGATGCCATAGTCCCCTTCGGCGCCTTCTCTTCGTGCCCTCTCTTCCTCTAACCTCCGTCGTTCCCTCTCTTCGTTTTCAGCTCTCAGCTTTTTCGCCTCCTCAATATCACGCCGAAGCTGCTCTTCCTGCTCACGTCGCTCTTCCGTTTCTCGCCTCTCGGCTTCCTGCTGTTCCTCCTGCAGGCTTTGCAGAGCTTGCAAAAACGCCTCGCGGCGCTCATCGTCTAGTACCGAGCTGACGCTGATAAACTCTCGGGCATAATCCCACTCATTATTGCGGATAAGTACGTGGAGCGTGTACAGCTCGAGGATCTTGACCCTAGCATTCAGATCCCTCGGTGTATCCGCTCCGCTGGTGGCCTTCGCCGGAGACCTATGCCGGTTCAGCCGTGGTGACGGCGACGGCGAGTCGGAAAATCTCTTGGAGAAGTCCAGATTTGGTGATGTGGCGGCTGCGAGATAGCTCTCGAGCTTCCTTTGGTTCAGTTCTTGTGTCCGGGCGTGGGCTAGTAAAAGTGTTGCGCTATGTTGATGTTAGTGTGTGTTTGCAACAGGAAAAAAAACAACGACAGAGAGGGCATCTTACAGATTAATGACAACGTCCGAATCGACGTCGCTCTCGACGCCGTGGTATCCGTTGCGTACGACCTCCTCCCAAATGTCTCCTTCCCTGACTTTGGTGCACAGCGCTCTCCACTCTTGGCTCCCAAACGCATCCTTCCCTTCGTCTGGCTCCAGTTCGACGATGGCGTTAAGCGTCGTCAGGTACAAGCTCCAGACCTTAATCCTCGTGGATCGCGATGCCCTGGCGACGGGCGCTGGTTCGCCTGCGCCGTTCTCCGACTGTCCCGAGGGCGGGGTGATCAATGGCAAGATGGTGGATAGTGCCTCGGGTAGACGGCGGGTGAGGAAGAGAGTCGAAGCCTGGCGGTAGGTCTTTGAGATTTGCGAGGTATGGCGCGCTGAGGTCGATGAGGATAGAGACGAGATGGAGCTCGCGAGCATATGTGGTGGGAATGTAGCGGTGGTCTCGGAAGAAGCGACCGTGGGACTCAAGGTCGCCGTGTAGGAGCCATTGAGGGACGACATGTTGGCGGGCATTTAGGAACGGGAGGCAACAGCAGCAAGCAACGGGGTCAATTTGTCGGCATTGAAGAGCCCCAGGCGGAGGGAAATGAGGGAAAAAAGAACGGGGACTATTGTTATGTATCTGGAGTGCGGAGAATGGCGGCCATCATACGCGTTCCTGCTCAAATGCCACCTGCGGGTTGTGAAGAGAGCCGCGACATGTGGATGTGGTTAGATTCGGGTTCCTGGGCGTTATGGTGGTGGTGTGTGGTGTGTGGTAGTGGTGGTGCTGAGGTAGCTGGGGGTTGCTGGAGAATGGAATTGGAGTCTGCTGACAGACAAACATGCCGATTACCGCAGCACCTGCACAGCTGCCCGGGACAGGCACGCACCGGCACGGTTACACTTTTCGGCCATGGCCCAAGTTTAGCCTCGGTTTGTTTCTTAGTGGGTTCCCCCCCAGCTTCTGCGTTGCTGCGTTGTGTGCTGCCACTGGGGTGGCTGGCCAGCTGACCGCCAGAGCATGAGGGGAGGGGAGCGATAAGCGAGTACCAGTGACGTTGTCGCTGGACGGCTCACATGTCAAGTACCTCTTTAGCCTCCAAGAGCGCGGCCTTCTCCCGGCGTCCGGCCTTCTTGAACTTCTCATTGGGTGGAGTTTCCTGATCGGGGAGGACGCTGTGCCTGGGTCGGAGAAACAGGGGTTGCCCTCGACGACCGGCCGAGCTTTCATCTCACCTCCCGGAGATCACCAACCATTTAGAGACGATCGTCTCATGCTCGCTGCGGCCTGTCATTTCAAATCTTCGTGTTGTATTCAACCCGCCAAGTCGGGATTCCCTTCTCAATTACTGCTTTGCTTAGTTGCGTCTATTATGATATCCTATTAATTACCCCTCTCAACTGTCAATCGCAAGTTTGCGCGAACGCGTTCAGGGTTTAGACTTTTCTGGCCCCCCTGTGCTTCCCCAGATTGTTCCGAGGCATCTCGCGGGACGCAGAACCACGCGGCTCCCGGAGAGAATGTCATCGCCATTTAGCCCCTGATGCTTACATCGGTGCATTTCCTATTGTAGTCATCGAGTGACCATCCACCTCTCATGACTGGCACTAAAGTGTCGTTGGGGTGCTCGGTACACGTGGAATTTTCTTCGTCGCGGGGTTCTAGAACCGGATCATCTTACGTCCTAGGAATCGCTGAGCAGCTGGAACATATAAGGCTCATAAGCTGATGGGAAGGAGTGGCCCTGACCAACATGTCAAATAATCTGACGAATGCCGACGTGCTCTTATTGCGCTTTCAATCAAGTATGGATAGGCTCATCTATCGAAACATAGTTTTGCGGGGCGTCTCCAGAAATCCACCAAGGGTCATCCGTCCTCAACGACATTGCAAAAATCCGTTGTCCTACTCACAAACGTGTCTCCCTACTCATGAGACCAGTGCCACCACCAACAACCCAAGACGCGATTTCGCGTTGGCACGGTCGGCAAACTCTTCAATCGAAGGGCAATTACGCTCCGTCGCAAGCTCAACTTTGAACTCACCATTCGGGCCCGATATTAAATGTCTTGCGGGGGGCGATCCGAATTCGGTCGCGAATGTCGTCGAATATGGCCATCTGCCACCGAATCCGACCCACGTACCCTTCCTGGGTGTTGGACTCTCTCCATGTGCCAATGTCCGAGTCTTGCGAATAGCCCAGGAATTGTGAATCGTATCCAACTGCTGATAGCCATTCTCTGTCATACAATCTCCATTCTTTGCTCTCGTATGACGCGGCTCGGCCCTCGAGCCTGGCCGATTCCTCGCGGGCGAGTTTGTGGGCAATTCGCAGAAACACAACTGCCGTCATGTGGCCTATCTTCATTAGTCGAGCCACTCACGGTTCTGCTTGTTCTGCCAACTCACTATCGAAGCCAGCCTGATGGGCTGTTTCACGACGGCCATAGCCATAAGCTGCATCCCAATGGATGCTTGGCTGCGTTCTGTTGCCATCGAACCTGTTGTATAGATCCATCAATGGGTCTTCGCCCTCGATCGTGTCGTCCTTAATGGCCAACAGCTTCGTGTCCACGATGCGTGGGAACAATTGGTGAATATTTACCAAAAACTCCAAAAAGCTGTCGGGGAGGTCGTCGATGAAGGTGTTGTAAAGGAACAAAAGGTCCATGAATTGGTTGTGTCCGATAATGGTTGGCGAAGACGTTCGGCCTAAAGTTTCTAGCTCCTGAAGAGCATCTGCTACTTCATTCTTGAGTGTTTCCGTGGATAAATCCTCGAGATCGTGACACATTTTGTTCCAACCAGTCGGCTCATCCCAGCCGGCTGTCTCAGCTGTGATATGCCAAGTACCAGTGTCGCCCTCCCGAAACTCGCCACCTGCCACTCCCTCCGAACTGCTTGAGGATTCTCCATCGTGGCTCGCCGAATGAGCTTCTTGAATATGTGTGGCCTGTGGAGGGATGTCATGGTGAGGGGAAGAGTTGATCCCAGGCCGGCTGCTGCCAAGATCGGGGTAGCAACGTTCGCAATGAACATCATACACCAAGGGCATCAGCTCATTATCTCCAACTCGGCTTCTGGACAAGTTCCGCTTCTTCATACAGAGGCACTCGTCTTTGGTGATCAAGTTTGTTTGAAATGCCACTTCGACGTCCTGACCTGAGGACGTGCTAGAGCAGCCTGTGTCAGGGTCGTGATGTGTGCAACACCAGGGGCAAAAGCGATCCTCGACTTCTTCCTCTGGAGATTCTTCCCATTGTTCTGGTGCCGCGGGATGAACAAGCTCATGCACCTCACGACAAAAGCATTGTGCTTCGCCAGGCCAGCCAGACATGGCTTCGACAATGAGGTCGGGGTTAATGAGGTTGGCAAACTTGCCGCCGACAAGGGCTTCGATAATCAGGCGAATTCCTTATATCAGTCAGCCACCAGTAAAGCATTGCACACTGAGGGGAGCCCACCTGCGTACTTCCTCAACGATGCGTTGAGATCGTCCTCTAGAGACTCACGCCTCTTGGTGAAGTCAGCTGTCAGTGTTCTCATCACAGTTATCCGCGCCGCTGTAAACGAACCTTGGATTCTTGTCCATCGTCCCGCTGAGAGATAACCACGGTCGTGCCATGATTCCAAAGACGGCAAACCATTCGTGGCACAAGCTTTCGGGCCTTTCTACGAACGATCTGTTCGTAGACGCTCATACGTTTCTTACTATCAGAGTTGGGTAAGAGGACATTGATCTCTAGAGTTCGCTGTCCCATCTCGCGATTAGTATACTCAGTAGAAAGTAACGAGATTCTAAGAGGAAGGGATTTTTGTAGATAGAGGATAAAGGAACCAGTGCCACATACCATCCATGGATCGGTGTAAAGCCAATTTACAATCGTGTTATGGGCATAAATGGAAAACGTAGTCAGACCTTCGTCGTCCTCGTTGTATCCATGATCTTTGGCGTCCCAAGGATCTTGTCGGCGCTGCATCTGTCGAACTGCCAAGCGTGCCTCTTCGCGGCTGAGGTACGGAACGCAGTCCTCATAGACCTTCTCCAGCCGGATGCCTTCCGATCGAAGAAACTTGAGAGTGTTGTATGATACAGAAAGGCTCCTATCCAAGCCTTTGACGAACTTTTCATCAGCTCGCGTTTCTGTGTGCAGGTAGGGGCTGACAGTGAAACTATAGGTCTCGGTTTTGTATGAGCCGTCTGGAATTTTGTCAGAATGCGACGGATGATATTCTTCGGACGTGGAGAACACAAACCTGACTGGCTTTGGATACACGTCATCCCCATCTCAAAGACGTTGAACTTGGATGCAATCTTCTTGGCCGATTCATAGATTTGCTGGTTGGTTGGGTTTTCTGAGTGGTCTGCCGAGCTCTTGTCCGTGATGCCGGTCATCTCGAGATCGATGGCAACGAAGTCGGACTTCGCAATGGACAGCAGAATATTCGGCAGCTGCCGCCAGAAGTTCTCTGACGAGACTTCCATGCTGGGCGTCGAGGTGTTGTCAAGCTTTTGGCCGCCAGTCGTCAGTAGTTGAGAAGGAAAGGTAGAAGGAAAGGTTGAAGGAAAGCGGCAAGAAAAGTGGGAGTGGTATAAGGGGAAGAAAAAGAGGCAGGAAGGAAGCTGTGGGTGGAGGGAAAAAAAAATAAAAAATGAGAAGCCACCAAGAGGAGACGAATTCAGGAAGGAGCACCTCGTGACAGCAATAAAACAGGCAAGAACACTCGACTCCTGTGGCAAGGCAGGTCGTTCTTCGGAGGTTTTGCTTGCGTATTCCTGTCCGGCTTGTAAATGAAAAGGGAACATCAACCCCTCAGTAGCCAACAGCGTCCTTAGGCAGAAGGAAGGAAATTGCAGAGTTTTGAGACTGGCCATCGCAAAATCGAGTTTCCTCGTAATAAAGCATCGTAATAAAGCATTATACGAAATCACTGTGTCGTTTTAAGGCCACAGGTTGCCCGAGGTAGTAAATAATAATCTGAAAGCCAGTAAACGCGTCTTATCACGCCCAGCGTGAGGCAATGGAATTTTTTTAAAAAAAGATTGAGAAAGTCAAAAAGTTCAACTCTTATCCTTGCGGACAGCGGAATCTATGAAAACCCCGAGACTCTTACCAGCCTCAGGTGTAACGATGGAGGTTTTCTAACGGCGGCGGGATCCGAACCCACGCACCCGCGACGCAAGGGGACGCTCCTCGTCAAAGGAACGCCTCTCTGATCCCATTGCGCCACGGATTGTTGAAGAAATGCAGAAGAGTTTAGATATGTAAGGGTAGGCCAGGCGGTTAGGAGGTCCGGAGGGAAGGCAGCCATGGGATGAATGAAGAGGTGGGGCTGAGGCTTGTGGCTGGACGTGGGAGGTGAAGTCCACGAGAGGGAGGAAGGTGCAGTGTGAGGTAGGAGAGGGTGGGATCGAGAGACGCTGCTATGGGTTTGTCTTTGCGACCTCACCTCTGGAGATTACTGTTTATGGTTATACGAGGTAGTTGGACACCATATCAAATTGGTATAAGCAAGCTTGCTTTGCGTGAGAAAGCATAATACGTGTCAAAACTGGAACTGCGAAGATGAAGTAGATGGAATTGTGTTTCTCTACATATCTACTTAAAATCCCTTGGCATGGATGGCTTTATGAATAATGGTAACATATGCGAGCATGTAAAGACCCAATGTTTCAGCAACTTGACAAGCTATGTGATATCTCGAACGACACTCCATTATTGCTGGTAGATTTATCTACTCTTGAATAACGGTAAGACCAGCAAATTTACGTCTACGTCTTCGAAGCACTCAAAGACGGTAGATTCAATGCCCTCAAGTTGATGGAGGATGACATGGTATCTCGTAGGCAACAGGCCATGTTCGCATGCTTTTAAGGCAAAACCATCTCGAACTGACGACGGTTCTATTGTCTGGGGAGCAGAATTACATCAAAATGAGCATCTCACACCCAAGTCAAGCCCAAAGTCGAAAGCACAAACCAGCGCAATCAAGCTCTGGGCAGGCAGCCACAAAATCCAGTGAAAGATTTGATTGTACAAGTTTATCTATGATACAACAGCGTTACACGTCCTCTCAACCGTTCTCCGACAACCACTTGTCTGCCACCCATTTTCACCACTTTTGAGAAATGGCGCCGGCCGAGCCAAACCATTATAGAGGCATACATCTACCGGTCCACCATCATGCCCCGCACATTGTTGTAGTAACCCCGCTCCAGCACCTCGGCGAGCTCCTCCTTGGTCAGCCACTTGAACTCCTTGTACCCAAACTTGTTGGCCGTCAGGTCCGCCTGTCCCGCCATGATGCGGCCCTTGAGGAAGAAGGTCTTGCTGCCGCGCTCAAAGAGCTCGCCGCGCCTGACCTGCGTCTTGGCCACGTGCACGGCGGCCGGGCCGCGGCCGACCATCCACGTGTTCATGTTGACGCCCGCCGTGTCGTCGAGGATTCTCTGCGCGGCCTGTAAAGAACGTTAGCATATATCGATATCGAAGCACGGGAAGGGGAGAGAGAGGGGGTCGATATGGGGTGGATAAAAAAGCTCACCTCGTGAAGGTTCTCCTCCGTAGACAATCCCGCCGCAGGAAACTCCCAGACATCCTTCTTGCGACCGGCCTTCCTGACGACAAGATACAGCGTCCTCTCCATGGCGCGATCCAACCTCGTCTGGTCCCCCTTGATATCCGCCTCCGACACCCGCGGCGCCAACGCCTCGGGCGGCGCCCGGTCCTCCTCGGGGATAATCTCCGCGTCGTCGCTCACGCGCATCACGGCGTCCTTGAGCAGCAGCTCCACCGCCTTGTCGTGCTTGCTCAACCCGTCGCCGACGGCCAGCTCGTCGTCCCACGCCGTCGACGCCTTGCCGTTGTACACGCCCAGCTCCTTGGCCACGGTGCCCTTGCGGTCCTTGACCTTCATGTTCCAGTCAATCAGCGCCGGCGTGTCGGGCTTGAAGTAGACGGACGTGATGAAGGGCATCGTCAGGCGCTCGTTGAGGCGCTTCTGGTAGAAGAAGTAGGACTGCTCAAAGTCCGTCAGGGGCCGCGTCAGGAGCGGCGCCCGCGTGAGGATCACGCCTGCGCGGATCAAGGGTGGCGGGATCGTGATGTCCGCCGCAGCCGCCTTGGGTTCGTTTGGTTTGCTGACTTTTGACGAAGGGGGAGGAGGAGGGGGAGCGTTGGTCGTGGTCGTGGTCGTTGCGGCGGCAGCGGCACCCGAGTACGCTCGCGAGGGAGCTGGAGCTCTAATCTGGACCCTCGCGCATTGTCTGCAGACTCTGGGGGTTGCTGTGAGGGGGGCTCAAAGTCAGCCAATGATCTCAATGTTCATCCGAAACGTAAACATACATTGTATGCGCCCGAGGGCGGCGAATGCGCCTCTGCTGGAAGCTGTCATCGTGAAAAGCGCTGGGTGTACGGGGTCTCCTCCTTGACACCTCAGTCGAGAATCTCCAGACGGGAATTGAACTTTTTTGCTGTTCAAGCTTAGTAGAGGTACGTACCGAGTGGCCGAGGCGGCGCTTACCTAAGGTCAGACGTCCGACGAGGTGCACCGTGCGCGGATGCAGCACAAGGTAAATCTTGGGGTGCCTCATATTGTACCTGAAAAGCAAGGTCGATCTTGACAGGCGCCCGGGTCAATATCGCGCCTGACAAGCGCGGGTCTCAATCACGTAAGCAGAGGTACCGTAGCGGGGGCTGAGATGGGTGGGACCGCGCAGAGCCTTTATCAACCCGACGCCCAGCCGCGAAACTTCTTTCTTTTACTTCTTTTTCCTCTTCACGGCACCATTTCCTTATCGTCAAGACCTGTTCCGCCTCCAGAACGTCCTGATCATTTATTACGGTGCCCAGAGTAAATCGCAGTCTTTTTTCGCTAGCAGCACCTGCATTTTTTTACTGGGTTCATGTTAGATAGCTACTGCAAACACATCAGCGCCTTTGACCGCTGTTTAAGAATGGCTGGCTTCTGCTACCGCATCAGCAGAGTCCGGAGTGGACTTTCGCTATGTGGCAAGCAATGCGTCACGACAACCGCATACGTGAATTCTCTGCTCCACATGTCACAAGGTGCTGCTGACTGTGCCGCTGCAATTAGAGCTCGAGCGTGTTCACGCGTGCTGGTGCTCATCATTGAGAGTCGTAATATCCATTCGTCGTGTCGTCGTCGTCTATCTACCTACTAAAGTACAGAAAGCCTTTCCAGCCTAATCGTGGGTCACGCCCTTGACAGAGTCTCTTTCCAAGAGATCCGAGCGATTCGAGCTACTACGAGACCCCACCCCTAAGATACAGCTGTGCCTCTCCCCCGCCCAATCCCAGAGACACGGGGAATTCAAAGTCGAAATTTTGCAAAAAAAAAAAAAGAAGCCTCCTTTGGAATGGAGTGTTTGGGTATTAGACCGCTTGGTTCGCTGCCAAACACCAATAACGCCTAATGCCCGATACCGTTCGTTCGTTTATGCTGCCGAGCGCCGATCAAGCCTTGAGTTCCTCAATCGCACGGGCCACCTCTTTGGTAGCGATCTTTTCGCAAGTCTTTTTGGCATCATCGTCAAGCGTCTGCGGATCGCGAAGGCCCTCGTACAGCTTGCGGGAGACATCTCGGTTGATGTTTGCATATTGATCGGTGGTGAGCTCCTTCGCGCGCCAATGGGGCTTGAGGGCAGCCCGGACGATGCCGCTGATTCTTTCCTTGGTCTCAAAGGGGATGGCGGATCGCGTAGGCGACGAATCCTGAGACCGAGCAAAGGTCGGTCGTTGACGGTTCGGTCGCTGTGGGCGAGGCTGGCGAATTTCCGCGCCGTTCGATCGACTGTCAGAGTCACTACTATCCCCAGCGTTTCGAGTCGGCGAGTAGTTGGCTTTGGGGAACCGTGGTTCCACGTAGGAGCTTAGAGATAGCGTAGGTGAGCTGGGCCGGGGATGGGGTGGCGGGGTGAGAGAAAGCGCCCGCGGTGAGTTTCGTGATGATGGTGAGGGGGATGTGACTGGCGAAGAGGGGTCAACACCAGAGTGAGTACCGAAATAATTCCGCACAGTCTCGTCGTCGGAAGGTGCGCTCATCTCCACCTCCTTAAGCAGCGACGACAGGAATGATGGTCCGGGTTCCGTATTGATGGGAGACTGGACGCGCTGCGTGGCACCGTTCGTCTGAGGCCGCGATGTCAGAACACTCGTCGGCGCGGGTGACGAAGTTATCGTAGGTGCGGGGGCGAGTGCCGACACAATGGTAGGGCCGACGCCTGAAGCGGTGCCAGATCCAGATGCAGATCCCGACACTGAAGCCGAGGCAGAGCCCGATCCGGAGCCTTCTCCCTGCAAAGGCAATCGGCGTGTGCGAGGTCGCTTCAGCTTGCGCTCGGGTTCCTGAGCGGGTTCTTGGGGAGAAGCCGTGGTAGATCTCGACTTTCTCTTGCGGGGATTGGGAGCGCTCGTCTCGGCTTCGCGAGCCCTCTCGAGGGCGCCCCAAGCCTGCTGCTCCTCTCTCGTCTCGGGAGCCGGCGGCAGGGGTTGCATGACGGGTTCGACTGGGCCACCGTCGAGGCGATGACCGACGGTTGGGCGAATATTCCTCGCAAAGATGTCTCTGGCGCCTAGACGACTGGCGATGCTCATGCGCTGCTCCCAGTCTTGGTGTTCTTGGATATCGCGAAAGTGTCCTCTCTGGGCCTGGGCGCGGCGAAAGCCCTGAAATAAGTCTTCGTCTTCGTGGTTGTCGAGGTCGATGTCAGTAGCATCGTAAATGCGACTAGCAATCCGGTCCCATGCACCCTGCCACTCGAGGGATCTTGCCTCGCGTCGTGCATTTCTAGCTTGCAACTGGGTTCGCAACAAGCCTCTTTGAGCGGTAACGTTTCGTCGGTTTGCTGAGCGTGCAGCTGGGTTCAAAGGCCGTGACTGGATCACTTCGACATCCGAAGCCTCACTAGGGCTGGATCGGCTGGCATTGTTGTTTTCATCACACTCAAAGCAGTACCAGGACTCGGTCTGGGGAACACCAGACAGGCCGATGCAGTGTGTATGATAGGCTGCGTTGCAACCATCGCAGAGGAGCAGCACCTCTTCATGATCCGAGGACTCGCATATGGGACAGGCAGGGCTCGGCTCCTCGCCTTCGCCCTCGGGGTTCTCCTGAAGCCATCTGTGGATATCAAACTCCTGCTCTTGCTTCTTGTCTTGAACAGCGTACGAATCGATAGGGGGGCCTGTTATTGTCACCAACGTTAGTTTCTTGTTGCTAAAGCTGCTGCTGCTGCGAGCGTCTATTGCGAGGCGGGATGATTTGATACGTACCGTTGAGCTCAGATGAGAGGCTGACCTCATTGAAGGGTGTACGGCAGATGGGGCAAGTATTGGAGTTCTTGGCCCAACTTCTGATGCACTGATCGTGGACAACGTGATTGCAGCCAACGAGGGTAGCAATGTAATTTGACTCTGGTTCTTCTAGTATTTCGAGATCTGAGTCGATGGTACGGTATGTTGGCTGTACTGTTGTGGTGGTGGCTGCTGCTGTTGCTTTTGCAGCCGCTGGGCCCGCTATGTTTCCAGCAGCAACGTCTTGCTGCTGTTGCTGTTGCTGCAACGAGGGGTGCTGCAGCGACTCCAGGCATATGATGCACTGATCCGGTTCAGTCATTGTGGCAACTGTGGTAGTATCGCTTGAGGTTTGATGAATTCATAAAAAAACGTCTTTGAGCAGGGCCAACAGATGGCTTTGAGATTGCAGGAATATGTGCGTGGATATTGTTATTGTAGCCGTGATTGCGTGAACTTGTTTATGGGCTTTGTTGCCTTGTTGTGTCGGTCGTGGGGTGGCAGATGGTAGGTAGAGGGGAAAAAAAAAGAGAGGTGCCGAGTTGTTCAGTGTCTGGTGGTGGTAGTGGCAGGCCTGAGGTGGGAGTGTTGAGGCGACTGAACGGCTGTCGGGTCGCTATCAGTCGAGTGCACAAACGCACGACCAACTGGGCAGGTTGCTGAAGAGTGGGAAGGGTGCCAAGGGGGCACTTTGGGGGTTGGAGGGGGAAAGTGGAAGGTGGCCCAGGTTTGGTAGGTAAGTTCGATATGTCCTGCGTTTCTGGCGCGAGATGGACTGTCAGCCGGTTCGGGGGATGTTTCGCCGCTGCGCTAGGCAGGGAAACCAAGCAGCAAAAAAAGACGAGAAAGATATACGATGAAATAAAGTGGCCGGTGTGGAGAGAAGAGGGGGGCTTCAAACTTTGGCTGGCAGTGCTTTTCTGGTGAGGCGAGACAAGTAGGAAGAGTGAAAAGGGAGAGAAAAGGATCTGGTATGGTCGCCTTTCTTTCAAAGTGCGGATGAGGTATGTTCGTGGGTGAGGTGCCCACTGGTGGACGGGGGGCGGTATGGGAGTCTTGGGAGTCTTGGGAAAGGTGGTAGGTAGGTAAAATGGCGGTGCTGGGCTACCCGAGAAGACCTTGGGACCTGGAGAACTGAACGGGAATTGTAAGAGGAAAGGTTTGGAGAGGCCAGGACCCCCAAGGCGGGTTTCTTGCGAGCTTAGCGCACGCCTGTAGCTGGTCTCGACTGGAGCCAATCAACAACCGGCTGATGCAGTGGTGCGCCACGCTCCTTGCACCTTGGTCCTTCGTCCTTTGCACCTCACCCTTCGCGGGCTTCCCAGTCGATGGCCCACTGGGCTGGACAGTGGACAGGGACCTACCTCATGGAACTGCATCCCATGCCTCCACCAGCAACGGCAGCACCCTCACAGTCACACTCTGTCACTCACACACACACACACACACACACACACACACACCCGTGGACACAAACGTGCATCTAGACGCATGCTCGAAGCAGGTCGACGCACTGAGACGGACCAGACTAGCCCACTAGGGTCGCTGCAAGCCTGCAAGAGCACGTACTCTCCATGGATCGATGCAGGAGCCGGAGCATCAACACCAGCCCGGAGGCAACATCTCACCTCACGGACATCCCACGCCGAGGAAACGCTCAAAAACACCCTCGGGAAATAAGATGGCCTGTTGAGGGATGATGTTTACTGCTGCAGTAACAACTCCTCCTACTCGGCAACGTTGTCATCTGGAGGTGTAGGCACGTAACTAGGTACGTATAGGGACACCTCTGGCGGGAAGAAAATAAAGAAACCGATTGGGTACGTACCTCGACTTGGCGGCAAAACCACGACAACAACGGCTGGGAGCTTGCGTGGTTGCGTTACTTCGGGTTTGCGTTTGCCAGGCCTTTCTCCTCACGATTCGACAGCTCCTCTCAATTGTCTATTGACCAATCCTCCAATCAGGTAGGTACTGAATCACGGAGTGCCAGAGTGCCAGAAACAACTGAGAGTGAAAGAGCTATGTCCGGGGGAGAACGGTGGGAAGGGGGAAGGTGGTAAGGTGGGCGGCGAGTCAAACACTCAATGGATTGGCTACTTGGCTCGTGCGATGTTGTTTGGTGACTTTTTGGTCAGGTACCTCGATCCAGCTGAGCGTGGGTGTGATGGATCATGGAAGAGAGTCTTAGGTCGGTTCGATAGGTAGGTACCCAAGTGGCGGATGGCGTTGAGAACTTGAGACGCCTTTGATGGAGGGCGAGGTGTGAGGGCGTCTACGTCAGGCCCTCCTGTCAGGTGAACTGCGTAAAACGTACTTTGTAGTACCTAGATACCTAGCCCCAAGTGTTCTTGATGTGAGTGTGAGGTGAGGCAAGGCAAGGCAGGACAAGGAGGTAATGTTCCGAGTTGGCGCGCAACGACGGCAACGTTAGCCCGAGTAATATGAGGGGGTAATCTGGAGACAATCGCGGTACAAGCAGAAGCAACGGGAACGTGCAACGGTGGGAAGCGGTCGAGGGCGGAAGAATGATGATAGCTGAAGAGGTAAAGTCGGGGCGCAGGGCGTGAGTATTCGGCGCTGGAATGGGTCAGCTCGACAATGGGTGCTATCTCCGCTTCCAGAAATGGGCTGCCTGCACCCATCCCGGATGACGGGAGTCGGGGGGCAGTGGCATAGGCAGTGCCAGGCAAATGGGCAATTGCCAATTGGGAGGGAAACTAAGTTACGGCGCTGTGTCCGTAAAGCAAGGTACACGTGAGACCTTCATGCCCCTCGTTTCTCGGAGGCCGACGAGATTGGTTCGATGGGGCCTGGCCTGCGTCAGGTTGCGACCCCAAGCCCACAGTCCGGCCTCTTCCTTGGTGCTTGGTGTGCCCGAGCAACCTTTTTTCCATTAAATCATTGATTGTTCGTCGACGGCCGCTCGTCCCGGCCGGATGCTACTTTGCCTTTTCCCACATCTAACTGACAGAGGGGGGGAAAAGACACGGGAAGGGTAAGAAAGCCAGACTCAATCATTAAAACTGGCCAATTTGCTGCGGATGTATACGGCATTTTATACCCATGTGAACCTGCTCTCGTTTACGGCGGCATTTCCGCGCGGCATAGGCTCACAGCCCGTAATCCTCTAAGCCCCCCAAGGTGTACCGCTTACCGGATACTTGCGTGGTATTGCGGACGTCGATGCTCTCTGGTACTTTGAACTTTCGCGAGATCCTCGGCTCGCGGTTGGGCGTCTTTGTATGTGTCTCTCTGCTAAGGTGGCATACGTGCAGCGATATCGAAAAAACAGGGTCGAGGTGAGAAGCTCAACTCACCGACTTACATGGCAATCGGAAACCCACTGTGCTTTTCGGTTAACTTGTCTTCACCGCGACAGCCGGGCTGCCTCATTGGCCCACCGCCTGACCCCCAGCTGCATTCGCGCCTTGTAAGTCTAGAACACCGGGATGAGTCAAGTTGTGATTCGACGTGGCATCGCTACCGTAACGACTGCCGCGCACTTGTTCGCTTTGCTTCGAGAATGGCCTTCGTCGAGGTTTCAACCCGCCTCAGAACACCGAGATGAATACCGGGCTTCGTGAGAACCTTGGTGGAACACACACCCCAACGCAGGCACCCAAGCGGATCACTCCTCTTTGCCTTGCTATTCCCAGAAATGACTGGAGATGACTCGGCCTCGACGTGGACACCTTTACGGCGCTGTTCTCTATGCTGAATCACGGTTACCTAGCCTGGTGGAGGTATCTCTCATGACGACTGGAGCAAATCTTTTTTTAATGTTGGGTGGCCCGCTTCGACGCTTCAAGCACGCGGCTGAAGATGACGGGGTCGATGACTCTATCCATGCCAACTAACTCCACACGCCCTGCCAAATGACCTCGCAACGCTCTTCACCACTTCACGATATGACTTGCCTGAGCAGGTCGGTGGGCGTGTCTCAGGGACGGACGGGAGGGTCAAGCGATCGGGAGAAAGGGGACGTTTTGTTTGTACGTCAAGTTCTTTTCATTGCTGACCAAGTGGTCCCTCTGGCAGCTGACCGAAGACCCGTTCCGTTATGGCCATCGTCAGGATGTAGGCACGATATCCGATTTTCCCAACACCGCCCGAAATGCAAAGCAGAAACCATCCACCGTTCGTAATCCCGTCCCTTAAACCTCAGCAATCTCTCTCAGACGACGGAGAGTGGAGCGCATGGCAGCAGCGGCGGGGGTGCTATTTGCAGTGTTAGCGTTCAGTTTCTAGTCCGACTTCTCTCCGTGTGTCAACATACGCGACAGTGTAGGCACCGCCAGCAACGGTCTTGTTGCAGCCTCTGCAGTTCCAGATGCCGGTGGAGTGGCGCTTGACGGTAGGCTTGCCGCAGAAGGTGCAGGTGTACTTGGCGTGCTGGGAGATTTCCATCTTCTTGACCTGCTTACGCAGGGAGGCACCGTAACGGGTACCGTACTTTCCGGTCACTCCGACCTTCTGTGAGGTTGTTAGAAATCTGTGGTTTCAATACTCTTGGTTCCTGGCTTATCGACGATCGCGTCAGAGGGCCGCCTGGCAGCAAATAGCATCCGAGCTGGGAGTCTAGACGAGAGAGAGGTTCGAGTTTTGGTCGAGATATTGCTCTTAATCGTGTACGAGTTTGAGATAGCTCAATTTGTCGACGGTGAAGCACATCGAGCCTGCGGTGCACAGGCAAATCGGATGACTTTCGTGATCAACGGTTGGTGGCATCTGCCTTCCTGGAGTCGGGAGTTTCGTCAAAGTTGGCGTCCATGGTCATTCGCTCGTCTCGTGTGTATCTCTCTCTCGTCATCGTCTCGCGTTGCGCTCGGGGATATTGCGTAGGCGGCCTACATGTTCCTCCCTAACCCAACCACCAAACCGAGCCCGTGATGGATGCCATTGTCGCCAATGAGGGAAAATCGTGGGCCGGTTTCGACGCGGGGTAGGGAAGTCCAAGCAATGACGGGAAAGTCGATGAAGCCATTCGTCCTGGATGGGGTAGTAGAGCATTACGAACCTTCGTGCGCTTGGCCATTTTGTCGAATTTTGGGGGGGAACGGGTTCGTTGACTTGAAGTGCGACGAGTGGTGTTGACGGTTCCTCCAAGGCGGTTGAAATTTCTAGAGGATGGTGTTGAATTTTGTCAGGGCTTGCCGACTCCGTTTGTGCGCTGGGAAAGCGAGCACGGACCACAGTTGACGCGAAAAAAAGAATGCGGCAGAACTCCGGCAGTGGGGTTTACACCCGCCCTGACGCAACCCCTGGGTCCATTCTCAAATTCTCTCGAGTCGCCAAATCTTGACCCCAACAAGACACGTGATCCCGCACCTGACAGCTGACCGCGGCTTACCTAACGTTTGACTTGGCGCATTGTTCAAGAGGTTGCACTGAAGGGCCTCTTCAAACGCCCGGGGAGGAGGCCGGGAGATCGGCGTCACAGCTGTCCGCTCGGCCCTTCTAAGCCGTAAGTGGAAAGCACAGCGCCCGGGTGGTTGTCACGAAGACGCTAGACCGCCGAGGCAGCGCGGACCAGATGCCTTGAACAGTTGGTATCGCCGTTTGCTACATCACAAAGTTTGCGCTCTCGACGGCCGCAGCGTGGAATGTGTCACCTCAATGGACAGCGAAACGGACACATTTTCGACGGATCATCGTGCATCTGTGAAAGGGGCCGGACATTGGTGCCACTTTTCGTGGCGTGCTGGGATATGTAAAGATGGCCGGTCGCCGCATGACTTTTGAGTGTAATCATTGATGTCTGAGACTCGTGCACCCTGACTCTTTTTTTCTCTTCAATCCTGCAACTGCCATTCCTTATTCTTTCTCCCTTCGAGGCCAGACTTATTGTTGACAGGAGACATCGAGCAAGCGTCAGAGATGCCTTTCAAGCAACACGGCCGTCAGTACGACGTGGTCGTTTTTGGTGCTACCGGTGTGTATAAGTCGAGGATGCAGTGATGATGCAACCTAACGTCCAATTGCTGACAACTGCAAAAAGGCTACACCGGGACGTTCGTGGCAGAGCACATTACAACCCATCTGCCGACCAATTTGAAATGGGCAGTCGCAGGTCGATCGGAGACGAAGCTCCAAGGTCTTGTTGCCGAGTGCAAGAAGCAGAGTCCCGACAGATTGCAGCCTGGTACGTGAAAGGATTTTAGGCTATGCCGAGATCAGATGAGTGTCTGATCCTCACCAATGAAGTGACTGTCTCGGCGTCTTGCATTTTCAATCGTGCTAGCAATGGATGAGGCTACCACGTGCTGGAGATGTCAAGTCGAGAAACAACCTGTATTGGAGGGGGGAAGTGGTGACAAGCTGCTCGAGAGAGGGGCTGGATCTGTTATGCAGGCCTAGCCAAATAAGTCATCACTCAGAAGTACTGACCAATTTCACAGAAATCGAAATCTGCGGCCTCAATCACGAGGGTCTTGAGGCGCTCGCCAAAAAGACATATATTCTCATCACCACGGTGGGCCCGTATGCAAAATATGGCGAGTTTGCCTTCCGAGCCTGCGCCGAGAACGGCACGCATTATCTCGACGTTACCGGCGAGACCCCTTGGACCGGCACAATGATTGGCAAATATGAGAGTGCGGCACAAGAAACAGGCGCCATGATGTTTCCTCAGATTGGAATCGAATCGGCACCGCCAGACCTCGTCACCTGGTCGTTGG